GGCCTATGTCACAAGCATTTCATATTGTTTGCACCAACCACACAACTAGGAGAGAAACACAGACGGGGCGAATGCCTTTAGAGGTCCAGCTATTGCTCTCCAGACTGCAGTTTTCTCATTGGGCAGAGCTGGACTGCAGTGGCCGGCTTCAGTCCTAGGGCTGTTAGATGTTTGCTTGAATTAGATGAATTGTGTATTTCGAATTCCCTGCTGCACTTTTTGAAATACTGGGAAGGTATTTAGCTGGAGCACCTCAAAGGACACTGGTCCTTGAGGTCTGGAGTCGGACATCCCTGGTAGAGATGAAAGTTAAAACGAAAGTTATTTGGAGGGGAGACGTGTAGAAGTTATAACTTTTTCCGTAAACGTCTCAACTTTGAGGTTTACTTGTGAAATATTTTGAGATGAAGTAACTTCTGAACTGGCTCAGAAATGCACTTTAGTTGTATATTTACTCCAAATAATCATCTCCTAAACTCTCACAAAGTGAAAACCATAAATCCTGAAAAGCAATTTTTCAGTTTTACGTTTTGCATAATTCACTGAGGTTAATTTTTGCTGTAATTAGAAAAGCAAATGAAATCTTCAAATATTGCCGGTTTTTAAAATATTAAGAGCAAAAATAAATCTCTATAAAGATTGCTTCTGTGCGAGCAAGACTTGCATAGTACAGCAAAAATAGTTTTAGAATCACTTACATTGTCATAAAGCTGTTCAACTAAATGTCACTGAGCAAATGTAAGTCATGCGCTTTCTCGGGACCTAACCTGAGAATATATGTAGCTTGTAATAATTGCAGCTGTTCGGGAAACTGCAGGTTCAGATGATTTAATACTAACGCTCCAACCGGACAGTTTACATCCGGTTGGAAGCTAAATTCTTCACTTAGCGTTTCTTGTTTGTCCAGCAGGGGGCAGTGTGCACCATCTTGTTTTGAGCCAAGAGTTCCACCTGCAGCTTTAGTATTATTGATATGAACGATTATTGCTCTCTGTCTTGACCATTCAGATAGTGTTGGCTGTAGAATAATATAATATAATCCATGTTTGAGTTTAATGCTCGAGTTAAACTTTCATATTTAATCACATTAAACTTGAAGTGTGTTTTCCTGTTTAATGCAAAAATATTTGTGTTATTTCTTTTTTGTGTGTCTTGCTCTGTTTAATAAGAGGAAATGGTATAATAAAGAGCCAAGTCTCTGTTGGTGTGGGCCACTTGATGTGTGCTGTTTAATCAGTGGAGGCTGAATGGCTGGTTGGTTATGTGACAAATAGGTTATCTCACCCCATCTTAGTACTTTACCCAATATTGACACAAATTAGGAACAGTTTGCTGAGATAAGGCAGCTTAGGAAGGAGGAGAGGAGCAAAGGATTCTTTTGGCAAACACTAACATCCTTTTCCTTACACTCTGCAATTATTTGGGTGTTTTTTTTTATTTTTTTAAAGTAAAAAGTAGAGAGGTTACAGTTGCTAAAGTATTGACACCCCTTAAACATTTTCAAATTTTATGTGACAGGTTTATTTTCAAAGTGCAAAGAAAATGATTGAGTGAAGTGTGTTTGTGAGCATGCATCTTATTTTCTAGTCTTACTACAGATGTAGTCTTGACAAATCAGTTTAGGTCTGTGCTTTGGCGAGGCCTTACCAAATAAGTTTTGAGGTAAAGCAGGTAAGCTGGCTGTATTTTTAGTGTCCACCTCCGATTCAAGTCTTTTGTCATCAGCTCCCCTGTCCCTGATGATGAAAAGCATTCCCCACATCCCAATGCTGCCACCACCATATCTTTCCACGCAAATGGCCAGTTAAGGTGGATCAACTTCCACAATATATCATTTTCAGATTAAATTGTAGAGGAAGACCTTAGCATCTTGACAACATCTGAAAATGACTGTTAGTGTTAGATTTAATTTAAGGGGATCAGTGGAAAAGAGGCTAAATACAAATGCATGCCACATTTTTCAGAGTGCATCCTTGTCCTTCTACTCTCCAATTATTTGCAACTTTCTGTTTGTCTTTCACATAAAATACCAGAAGAAGAAAAAAACACTGACATCTGTGGTTGTCACATAAACTGTGAAATACTTCAAGGGTTACAAACACCTTACAAGGCATATTTGCAAGTGGATGATGAATCTTCTAACGTGTGACGAATTAAGGTGCTTCTATAATTGAACGTGCAGAGGTTTTCCGTCCTGCTCCTCTGCTACCCTGCTGGCCTGAGGTCAGTAGATTCAGACACCATCCTTATCAGTACAGAGTAATAAGTGTCCAACAACCCAAAGAGATAAAACCAGGAAAAGCAGATGGAAAAACAAGACGCAATCAATCAATGAGCAGGCTGGCAGCCAAAGCCCTTGGTATTGATCGGCACGGTTTGGATCCAGCTCGTGGTATTCAGATAATGTTATCTGCACAGTTTTGTCAGATTATGAAAACACATCTTAAAGCAATCGTCTCATTCTCTCTAACATAAACCACCCCCCTTTTTTTTCAATCAACACGATCAGTTACTTTCTTCCTGTTTTTCATGGGCTCTTTCGGATTCTCACTGACTCATGGAAGTTACTGATTGAAAGACGAAAAAGCTCGCAGACCGAGGGGAGAGGGAGAACGCAAAGCCAGTTAGTAGGTGGGGCTGAGAGAGAAAGAAAGAGAGACCAGGCCTGTGGATAAAAGCTGCGGAGCACTATGAACTCCTTAATCACACGTTTGACACACACAGATTGAGTCTGTCAGCTCAGCCAGCAGCTCAGAGCAGCTGTATCGACCTGGGTCGTTACACATTAACAACACACACACAAACACACACACAGGCAAACAGTAGATAGTAGGACATGCACACGGTTTGTTTTGTGGAACTGCTGCATAGCATGATATCCCAATATGAGCTCACACCATTTCAAATTACCTGGACTAGTCTGAGTTAGGATGTTGCGTGTTAAAAGAAAACAGCATAGAGGCACAACTGAGAAAATAAAGAAGTTAACATAATCTGACCCAATTGCTCCATGAAACAGAGCGTCAGCCGTCGCTCTCATGTTTGGGATGTGCTCAAGGATGCAGGAAAATCCCACCGCCTGCCTAACAGAGCTGCCGCATGCTGTATCTCTGTGTGCGATAGGTGGGGCGAGAGTCTGTGTGGTTATCAGGGGGCAGCCAGGTGTAGGCACAGGGGTATATGTGGCTATCGGGCCAGCTGTATTGATCCACTCCCTGACGGCTGCGGTGGTGGTAGTGGGGGCGCCGGACGAGGAGAGGAGGAGGAGGCTGATAACAGAGTTTACTGGATCCAGGCATGCTTACCTGAGAGCGTGGGAGGGCGCTGAGCTAACGCCCAACGCACACTCAATAGGCCTCATTCACAAAAGTCAGTCAAAGGTTTCACATGAGGGCAGAGCATGGGCGCATACGGCGATCTGGAATGTTTGGACAAGTAGATAGCGTCTCTGGATTGTCCACCACTTTTTTTTTTTTTTTTTTTAAGGATTAAAATGACATACACACATTATGTTGTGTAGTAGAAAAAAAATCCGTGTATTTGTTCGATCATAACTAGGAAAAAATATAAATGTGGTGTATACTTTGCAACTTCAGTTCTAATCTGGTGGCTAATTCAATCAATTAGCTGGATTTGATTGTGCAGGCAAAACTGAAAAGAATCAAAACTATTTTAAAAGACAGAAAGTACAGGAAACAGTTTGGAAAATACAATTCTTATATAAAAGCACCTATAAAATGAAAAATATTGACAACGAAATAAAAAAAATCTACAAAAAGATTTTAGATACCAGAAAATAAGAAAGACCTGAAATCCTCAATAAATCTGCATAATATTGACACTTTCTGTCGAGTAATAGAAAACTAATAGAAATATACAAATCCAACAAGAAAAAATCTACAAAACAAATTATAAAAAGGGCAAAAAATACAAAAATGCCCCCCTCTCTGTGTGCAAAATGACTGGAAACAAATTATAAAAGTCTGAAAATCAACAAAACAATTAGCAAAGAGACAAAATAGAAAATGAATCCGAAAATATTTAACACACTATCCAAAAACAAAAACCAGAAGTAAACATTTCCAAAAATACAATTATAACTTCTGTAAAAGCATGTACCAATAAAACACCCTAAATTAAAAAAGTAAAAGACATGCAAAACTGACAAATCAAAAAACTGTATAAAATCAGAAAATGTAGAAGATTATCAAAAAGAAATGCATGCTCAAAAAGTCTAATAAACCCAGGAAAAGACAGAACCACAATGAAAAAAACAACTCCTGGTTGTTTACAATAAAGAAATAAATGAATAAAGACTCACCCAAATAAAAAAGATTCAAAAATGTATTTCATTTGTAAGTGAAGAGTAATTTACTCTGTTTTGCAATTTTAGGAATATTATTAATTTTGTTTTATTATTTGTTATTAATTAATTAATTAATTAATTAATTAATTAATTTTTACTTATGAGCTACACTACACAGAATCTTGGTAGGAACTTTTTTTTCCCACAGCAATAAATCACACCTTCAAAGGAGATGCTATTATTAGAGAGATAAGATTAAGATTAGGGCAGTAAACTCTGACTGTGTCACACTGATGCAGACAATCAGACGCCTTTTTTTCCTCCTGCCTGTCACCACATGGATCAGGAGTTCAGGGCACATCCAGCAGGAAGCCTGGCTGACATTTCTCCAAAAAAAATAAATAAAATAAAATAAAATGGGTAGATATTTATATCTATCTGATCAGATATAATCTGATCAGATATAATATGATCAGAGGGTCTTCTGAAACATATCTTCCTGTTTGTGTAGCTTAAACATGGCAGGACATTCCTTTTCAGAAAGGAATGGTACGTCCCAATTAGATAAATTAAGCCCACGTGGAGCTGGTGCTTGTGGGTCATTGAGTGTCCTGCCAGTTTTCATAAACCCTTGTTTGAAAAAACAACAACAATAACAAAAAAACAAAAACAAAACTGACATCTTTTATTAAAGATGGGTGAAGGGTTGTAAAGTCAAAACACATACGTTTTGCTCTTTTTCTGATTGCAGCGCCACGTTTAGGAAATCATGGAAGTTGGAGGCTCATCTGTGCAAACACACTGGATTGGTAAAACTGACTGCATGACGCCGCCTCCTGTTCCTCCTGCGTCCTCAACTGAAGCTTGTGGGTTTGTCTTAGAAACCTTTTTCCTGCGAGAGCTGTGAGAAGAGTTTCTGCTCTCGCTATGAGCTCACCAGGCATGAACGAGTGCATAGCGGTGAAAAACCACATAAGTAAGACCCACGATCGTTGTTTAAAATAAGAAAAATCACCTTCTGTGTGTTATTAGTTACCTGCCTGGTTTGCAGGTGTCCCATGGATGGATGTTTGGAGGCCTTTGGGAAAAATGCCACCATGAACAACCACGTAGCTCGAGTCCGCCAGCACCAGGAAGACGGATATAAAGTACAGCTGTTCACCCTATTAGTTAAGATGAAAATTAAATTTTCTGCATGTTTCCCCCCCGCTGTAGTGTGACTATGAAGGCTGTGAAAAGGATTTCAGCAAGAAGAAACAACTAAAAGCTCACAAGTGTGAGCATGGAGAACCATTGGGTTTTCAGTAGGTGTATATTAGAAACATTCAAAATATAAAAAAAACTGCCAACATTTTTCTCTCTTCATAAAAGCTTCTCTTACAGCTGCACATTCAACGGATGTGGGAAAGACTTTCGCAGTCGAGAAAAAAAAAAGTTTCTTCTCAGAGAAGACTGTGTGTGAAAAGTGTAATAAACTCTTCAACAACACCTGGTTTTTGCGCCTGCATGAGCTGTGTGCTCACTCTGGGGAGAAGAGGTACTTCCTGTGCCCCAGAGACGGCTGTGACAGGAAGTTCACCCGTCGCGTTAAACTGGAGAGTCACGTACTGGGAGACCATGAAGGGAAGAAACCCTTCTCCTGTGCATATGCTGGCTGTGGGAAGAGCTTTGCCTTGATGGTAAGGGACAACGAAGCAAAATATCTTAACTTGAAGCTCTTTTTAGAGCCACTCTACCAAAGAGTGATCAGTTTTTGCCTTTCATTTGCTTGAGCAGGTCGAGGCCAAACTCTTAGCCCTTTCAAAGATCCACAGGTTTCAGTGAATTCACCTGTATAAGGGCAAATGTTACTCTTTATGAAGTCCTGGAGAAACCCTTAGCTTTCTGACTTGTTCAGACACATTACATGAATGGATTAATTTTGGACAAAATGATATTCCAAACTTTCTGCTCAACAAGAAAGCTTATGGCGACATGGTGTGGTTCACAACCCTGCAGAAAGAAAGCTATTATGCATGTAGTCCTCAATTTCTTGTTCCTATGATCATCATTAGGTTTACATTTCTCTGCGCTCCTTTTAGAAACGGAAGCCTAAAAAGGACAAGCCCCTCGCAGGTTGCACAGGAGGCCACCCGGTCGGCTGCAGATGATCAAGAAGAAACCAACAAGCTTGCTGCAAAGCTGCACAGCACAACTCTGGAGGAAAAAGTATCTTGAATCTTACTAGTCAGTCTAGGCGTGACCTTTAATTGGGGAGCGTTCGTATACTTCCTACTGATTCTGAAAGTGTGAATAAACCCCCACTCAAAGCATAACACAAGCAGTCTTTCTACATTTCTTTTGTGCTAAAGCTACTAGTTCAAGTCAGTGTATGGGTAGCTATTGCTACTATTGTAGATTTTTTTTTTATGCTCTTGCTGAGAATAAAAGGGTCACGAGGGTTTGGGGGGTTAGTTGTTACAATGAGATATAATGCTCTTCATTGCATCTGAGGCACAGCAGTTTGTTTAAATGCTTTTTTTTTTTTTTTTAGATTTTCTGGGAGGGTAAAGGAAGATGGACTTCCATTTTCATTTAACTCTTTAAAGCGATTAAGGAAAAAGTTGCTTCAACTTCTCATCAAGTTGCAATCACAAAATTCCACTGGGTGCATTTTAGTGGACACACGAGTAGCATACTGTGAGGTGTATTGGGTCACTGAGGTTAAATACTTTATCACCTTTCACCAAGTCCCCTGGGTTACAAATCTGCCAGCACATTCTAGACAAATCTGCCAAAAATGATTTGACACTTGTATCAATCTGAGCCATTTCTGTCTCGCCACAGACTCTCAAATGACGATTAGCTGAAACGGCACCATTCCAAGACGGGAATATGCTCTGGCCCAAACCATTGTATTGCAGTTTGTGTATTTCAAGTTGTCCTGCAAGAACTTCTGCGGGACAAGCTTGAAGAGGTCATTGAAGGCCGTCCTGGTGGTAAATCTCACTGCAGCCAATAAGATTCTTTCAGTATTACCCTCTATTAAATCATTCCCACTGCAAAATGCTGCCGCCATGTTTCATTAGAGGGATGATTTGCAGGGCTCTGACCCTTCCGTTGTCCACATGTTGCACGTACTTTAAGAAACATTTTTATTCAGTCTTAATTGTTCTGCATTCGAATCTAATACAAAAGGTGCTTCAGAATAAAATTGAGCTATTTATGTATTCAGTCAGATTAAAAATTGCAGTGAGGTGACCGGTTGATGGACATTTGGTGAGTTGAACCATTTGTGGCAGTGATTTCTTTGAAGAGCCTCTCTAGAGAATCAAAGACATGGAGACGCCAATCCTTAAAAGGAAATGTTTATTAAACAAAACACACATTCACACATGTATAAAAGGTCAGCTGGTTGTATGGTGATGATACCTGAGGGCTGACCTCCCTCAGGATGCGGCAGGTTTCTAATAAGGCCTTGGGCTCATTCAGATGGAAACATCGCTGGCGCAGCAGAACAACTCGATGAAGGGCATTTGTGTTTCTTATTTTGTATTTTTCTCATCTAGGGTGGCAGCGGATCGGATCACGTTCGTCTGAAACACGTCGGACTTGCAACGATGCCTCCACCTGAATAAAACCCTGAGGTTCTACCACTGCTCAGTGAGGTGAATACAGCACAGACTGCATGTTAACAGTTGCAGCACGGCTCTCCCCGCGGGAGTGAAGACAACATGACCATATGAAACACAGCAGTGTCTGTTCAGGAGTGCAGTCTGTCGAGTGACAATCTGGATCGGTTCCCCCTCCTTCCCCCCCGCCCCCCCAACTTGGTCCTGCTGGGTCTACAACAGTCCTGGATGTGTTTGGTCCTGGATTTAAGCCCGGTATGGAGCGATGTACAGTAGTTCACTTTGGCCGAGGTTGTTCCCGATTTCTGGGTGAAGCCCGCTGACTTTTGTCCTGGTTACACCAGGCTGCCGGGCCAGGAGACCACGGTCAGCGCCACCCGGCTGCGCTGCTCCTTTAACATCGGCACCAGAGCTGAGTGGCTCATTCCTGCTGTGGACAGGCCGTTTACTGCCACTATCATGTCTCCACACCTAGAGCAACACAGTTCGAGAAGTGGACTTTATTTACACTGCAGCAGAAATTAGTTTTTGAACAGAGCAAAGTTATTTACTTTCTTCACCATAATGTGGCAAACTAAATACGCGTCTTCGTTCAGCTAAGCCTTTCGCGATAAGCAATCAATCTTAAGATAAATTGCAATTAGTTGAATAATCCCCATTCTGATGATCAATTTTTGTAGGGATAATTTTATTTATGGTTTCTGTTGTAAGTGGGTTTCATATATAGTTGTGGTTTTTTCCAGTTTCAGTATAACATGTTCTTCACAAAATTAAGGTCTTTGAGATGGCAAACATGCAGTATTATTCCATTATCAATACATTAATTGAAAATAGTCTCAAAATAACAGAAATATTCAACTTTCTTGAAACTTTTATGGATCTTACTAGTTAAATTTGTGGAAAACACTATATATATATATATATAT